CGCCCGCTCGCTGCCGCCCCGCCCCCGCCAGGCAGACAATGGGGCTCGCCGGGCTGGCGGACAAACGACGCCGACCATGCGCCGCGGCGTGTGACCTGCTGGGACTTGTAGTCCTCGAGCCTGGGGGCGCGTGTGAGTGGCTGTGGACGTAGTCTGGAAGGTGCGGGAGTATCTGGGGGCTTGGAGACGGCATTTTCCTCCTTCTGGCGAGCGAGCGACGTGCACATCCACGTGATCGGGCGCCCTTGTGCCGAAGGCCAGGAGAGGTCTGAATGGAGCAACTCCCTAGCCCGAGCCTCGGTTTCCCCATCTACGCCGTGGGCCATTGGGCCGATGCTTGCCGAGTTTATGTTTCACCAGTTAGTTTCACGGGACGACACTTTCTTTGTACCGCAGTGTGCTAGAACTCCTCCCGCAGCTATGCTTTTGCATTGGCCGCGTGTTCAGACAGGAAAGCCTTCCTCAAGCCCTAGCCCCTGGAGAACTCCTATGCATTCTTCAGGACCCAACCTGAAAGGCTCTGAAAGGCACTGGGAATTCTTAGGAGTGGTATCAGCCAGAGAGGAACAGAGACCCAGCAGGAAGAGGCCCTTCTGAAGGAGGTGCCATTTGGGATGGATGGCCCTCACATTGGAGTGGGCTTTCGGAGATGGAGAAAGGGCCTCCAGGCTCCAGGAACATATAAACAAAGCTGCACCCCGCCCGCACTCTCAGAGGGAATCTTGGCCTGTCCGCTCTCGCCTTCCTAGGCCTCCTTTTCTCATCTGGACGATGGCCTGGAAGCTGGGTCTTTGCTTCCAGGCTGTAGATAGGCTGTCCTAGAACCAGGGCTGGGCGAGGTCAGAGCTCCCAGAAGCTTAGGTGGGACAGGTAGGCCAGGCCCCAACCACACAATCTGTGTCGAGGGAGACAGGGCCAGCATCTGACCCCTAGGCAGCTGCCAAGAGAGAGGGGCCTGGCTGCTTCTCCTCCACCCACACTTAGCCCTGTTCAGCCCTTCCCTGGGGCTGGATGGATCCATGGGTGGAGGAGCAGGGAGGGGAAAGCTTATGAGCATCTACTGTGTGCCAGGCACTATTCAAAGCCCTTTCCTAGTTTCAACTGATTTCATGCTTTCAACAGTCCTGTAAGGGGGTCACCAATATTTCATGCTCCAGTTTTACAGATGAAGAAACTAAGATCCAGATGGGCAAAGGCAAAGGGGTT